AATGCCGTTTTGGAACAGCTGGTTGAAACAATGAAGTCAGTCCCGGTCTTGTTGAATTGGGGGTGCGGTTAGTAATAGGTACTTTTCAAGTTTTCAATTTTTGTTAAGAACTCTTTAACCCCAATGCCGGAATTGGGGGTGCGGTTACTATTACGTATGCGGTTTATATTAGGACTTTAACGGTACTGTGCTTTGCAATGGAACATACAGCATGAAGATTAGGGAAGGTACTTTTCTTTGGCATTGGACATGCAGCACATAGCTTAGGGGAGCTACTGTGCTTTGCAATGGGACATACAGCATGAAGATTAGGGAAGGTACTTTTCATTGGCATTGGACATGCAGCACATAGCTTAGAAGAGCCACTGTGCTTTGCAGTGGGACATACAGCATGAAGATTAGGGAAGGTACTTTTCTTTGGCATTGGACATGCAGCACATAGCTTAGAAGAGCTCCTGTGCTTTGCAATGGGACATACAGCATGAAGATTAGGGAAGGTACTTTTCTTTGGCATTGGACATGCAGCACATAGCTTAGGGGAGCTACTGTGCTTTGCAGTGGGACATACGGCATGAAGATTAGGGAAGGTACTTTTCTTTGGCATTGGACATGCAGCACATAGCTTAGGGGAGCTACTGTGCTTTGCAGTGGGACATACAGCATGAAGATTAGGGAAGGTACTTTTCTTTGGCATTGGACATGCAGCACATAGCTTAGGGAAGCTACAGTGCTTTGCAATGTGCTTAGCTACTGTGCTTTGCAGTGGGACATACAATGTACATGTACAGCATGGAACTTAGGGTAACTACTGTTCTTTGCTATGGTACATAAGAATTAGCATCCATCAAAAAGTTATCGTATTTGCTTTATTAGAAGGGCATCTCCAATAGAAGTGGATATAAATAAAAACATGCATTGGCTATATACTAAATCATAGAACCGTTGACCATAGAAAAATCTCTAATTTATGCAATCGCATGCAATACTGATAGAGCCCATATGTTATAAATGATGGAATAAGACATCAAGCAAAATGAGCAAAGATGAACAACACATACGGGTAGTTCCCTCTTTTCATCAAAAATTCACAAAATAGTCCTGTTTATAGTCTGCACTTCCCTTCAGAAGATTGGGACAGAATAGGCTCATTTTTTGAGTAAAAACTAAATTACATTGATTTCAAAATTCCAGAAATAAAAGAAAATAAGAAAAAAGTGCAGACAAATTTGGGCGAGAAAGTGGTGAAGAAGGTCTGGTAGGGGAAAAGTTCAGATAAGATTCAATAATAATAATGATAATAATAATAATAATAATAATAATAATAATAATATTAATAGATAAGACTTTATATTACTCACAAATGAGATGGTCTCTCATTTTAGTCAGAACTGGTTCAATGTCTTCCTTAGTAAGAGTTTTAGATCCAACTAATCCTTTAAATACATTGAACATACCAAAACCATACTGGGATTTACTGCAATAAATGAAAAAATCTTGAATGTCAGAATATTGGGTTACAGCCTAAAAACAAAAAAATTAGGGTATATACAGCCATACAGAAAAATACACATGTAGCTGTGCACTACAATTCCAACACACAGCACACATTGTACCTTTTTGGTTCAGTTTTAGATTTATCATTGATCTCTTCATCTTCAGATTCGCCTTCTGATTCAGTCTCAATATTTTCCAATTCACCTTTCATTGTACCAACATAACCAATCTGTAAAAAAAACAGCATACAGTCTAAGACTTGACACAAATGTAATTCTAAGGTGAAATGAAAATATAATGTCGATATTGATATGCTCAAGTTAGTGTACCATGTAAAAAAAATGTAAATTACCACATCTTTTATATCTGCCTCATTTGTTCCATTCATTTGCATGGCAGCTACATCAGCTTGTTTAGAATCACTAAAATCCAATGTTTTAGAATCCTTAGTTCCACCTGAATTATTCCATATGCGAGCTTGTTTACCCTTCTTCTTGTCAGGTTCTGGTGTTGCTTTACTGTAGGACAGATATGTATTAGAGAAGGTTGTAACTCAATTTGAAAGTTGTTGCATCACAATTTCAAACACAAATGTTGTTGTAATTATTCACACACTTCTGTAATTGGTTTCTAATCTTATTATTTTATAATCAATGATCATCACTATTGTGTTTTATTCTAAACTATATGCAAGGGGAGTCACTACCACTATTCTGTTCTATGCTTTAAAACATTTCAAAGAATTTACATTCAATTTAGTGAGTTTACAGTATGATAATAGTTTTCACTTAGGGAAGAATAGGAAATCAAACGGGCGGTTCACTGCGGTAATCACCGCGGCTCTCCGCGGTACACCGGGGAGAGCCGCGGACTGCTTATAATTAGGGGTCTCTACCGCGGTGGCCACCGATACCGGTGGCAACCGCGGTCGTAGGAAAGGTGTGAAATACGTACTTAACAGTTTCCTTTGTGATTCCATGAGTCTTTGTTTCAAATAGCTGTTTTTAAATCGAGCAGGTTACGAGCATTGCTGGCATGGAAATACTAAGCATATAGTAATATTATCGGCCCACGTATTTTATT